CACACACACACACACACACACACACACACACACACACACACACACACATACACACACACACACACACACACATACACACACAAAATCATAAAATTGCGTTACAAATATATATGTTTTATAAAGTGAGTAAGATTCGAAAGAATGAATGAAAAAGAAAGAAAGGAGGGTAATAAATAGATAAATGGTAGGAGTATTTATAGCATTTATGACAAAACCGAAAAAAAGAGGTTTGTCACAAGGAACCATTTGGTTTCCGTCCAAAATATATGAACATTAATATAGATATATTTGTTTTCTTGTTATAAGACGCATTTAATTTTACTGATAAGTATTTAATATAAGGATTTTTATATTTACCATGACAGTAACTTTACCCAGTCAATCAACATTAAGTTTTGAAAATATGGTATTATTACAACCCTAATGATAAAATAAATAAATAAATAAAGAATTAACTCATGACAAACAAATTAAAGAGACCAGAAAAGAAAAAAAAGAAGAAAAAAAATCTAACCCTAACAATAAAACCTTTTTTTAAGAAACCAGATTTTTTTTTTTTTTTTTTTTTTTTTTTTTTTTATAACTATCATTAGATCTAACAGCTTAAGAGTCGTTACAGGATGAGCGATCCCGTCTGATGAGAAGAACTGTCATGCGTTACGTGAATCTTACAGAACTTATCACACTGATCATGATAAGTCCCACGGTCAAGAAAAGATTCCCAACGCTTGACCACCTGGTAGAAGCAGGTAAAAATTTCCGGACTCACGGTGGACGAAGTGCGGATATTTTGTTCGCATTTTTTTATTTTTATTTTTTGTTTTTTTGTTTTTCGGTGTTGTTGTTTTTTCTTTCTTTTCTCTGTCTTTTGTATATATATATATATATATATATATATATATATTTCTTTTGTAGTGCAGCAGAGATTTTTTTGTGCTGCTAAGTTTTTTTATTTTCTATTTATTATTATTTTTTTTTTTGTATGGGAGATATTGGTATTTAGATGGCGATGAAAAGGACGTTTTACAGATAAGAAAATCTTGCTTATTGTTGTAAATAAGCATTTCATTTTCTTTCGATCTTTCTTTTCCTTTCTTGTTCTTCCTCACTTTCATGTTTTTTTTTTATTGTATTTCAGGTAAGTTGGCTTTTTTTAAAATGTAAAATCAGCAGTTCTGTGGATGTTAATAGATGAAAAATATTGTGGTGTCTGTAAAAGTAAGAAATGTATGGAAAACACACACACACACACACACACACACACACACACACACACACACACACACACACACACACACACACACACACACACACACACACACACACACACACACACACACACACACACACACACACACACACACACACACACACACACACACATGGACACACACACATACACACACTGATACACACACACACACACACACAGATACACACACACACACACACTGATACACACACACACACACACACACACACACACACACGCGCGCGCGCGCGCGCGCGCGCACACACACACACATATGTACATACAGTTACACACACACACACACATATATGTACATACAGTTACACACACACACACACACACACACACACACACACACACACACACACACACACACACACACACACACACACACACTGATACACACACACACTGATACACACACACACACACACACACACACGCACACACACACACACACACACACACACACGCACACACACACACACACGCGCACGCGCACGCGCACACGCACGCACACACACACACACACACACACACACACACACACACACACACACACACACACACACACACACACACACACACACACACACACACACATGATTATGAATATTATTGGGAGGTTATATAATTTTTCTTGATGTAAGTATGATTTTATTTTTACATTTACATACATAATTTCTATATTGCTTTGTAATGTTCTTGTTGATACATAGATATCCATTTTCAGATTTCAGATTTTCTTTGGAATATTTCTCCACATGTTCCTTATAATGGCATTAGGGGCTTGCAATTGAGTGGAAATTGCAGTTTGTTATTATTATTAAAAGTGTCTTTTATTATCTGCAGTGTTTATGTGGGGAATTGTTAGTTGAATAGTTGATTTATATCATTACCTTCACTGTCAAATTTTTCCTTATCATCATCTACCAGACTACCATTATCTTTGCTACCACCTACCACCTATTACCTATGACCTACCAGCTGTTACCTATCAGCTATCACCTGTGATCTACTAGCTATGACCTACCAGCTATGACCTACCAGCTATCGCCTACCAGCTGTTACCTATCAGTTATCACCTGTGATCTACTAGCTATGACCTACCAGCTATGACCTACCAGCTATCGCCTACCAGCTGTTACCTATCAGCTATCACCTGTGATCTACTAGCTATGACCTACCAGCTATGACCTACCGGCGGTCACCTATCAGCTATCACCTATGACCTACTAGCTATGACCTTCCAGCTATGACCTATTAGCTATCATTTATTAGCTCTCACCTACCAGCTATGATCTATCACCTACCAGCTTACCACTTACCTACCTTCCAGTTATCACCTGCCACCAATCACCTGTCACTAATCACCTATCACCTATCACCTATCAACTATCACCTACCACCTATCAACTATCACCTATCACCTACCACCTACCACCTACCACCTGTCACCTATCACGTATCACCTATCAACTATCACCTACCACTTATCACCTATCACCTACCACTTATCACCTATTACCTATGACCTACCAGCTATGACCTACCAGCTATGACCTACCAGCTATGACCTACCAGCTATGACCTACCAGCTATGACCTACCAGCTATGACCTACCGGCGGTCACCTATCAGCTATCACCTGTGATCTACTAGCTATGACCTACCAGCTATGATCTATCACCTACCACTTATCACCTATCACCTATCACCTATCACCTACCACCTACCACTTACCACCTACCACTTACCACCTACCACTTATCACCTATCACCTACCAACTATCACCTGTCACCTGTCACCAATCACCTATCACCTATCAACTATCACCTGTCACCTATCACCTATCACCTGTCACCTATCACCTGTCAACTATCAACTACCACCTACCACCTACCACTTACCACCTATTACCTATGACCTACCAGCTATGACCTACCAGCTATTGCCTACCATCTGTCACCTATCAGCTATCACCTGTGATCTACTAGCTATGACCTACCAGCTATGATCTATCACCTACCAGCTTACCACTTACCTACCTTCCAGTTATCACCTGCCACCAATCACCTGTCACCTGTCACCTATCACCTATCACCTACCACCTACCTCCTACTACCTACCACCTACCACCTACCACTTACCACCTACCACTTACCACCTACCAACTACCAGCTATTGCCTACCACCTATCATCACCTACTATCACCACCACCAACAATATTACAATTTCTGTGTTATCATCATCATTGTTAATATTGCATCCTTATATATTCACTGTAAAACAAACAAAATGCATTTAACCTCATATGATATGAACAAAGTGCATATGAGAAGGAAATTTGACAGAAAAATTTATCATGGATTTAATGAATCACAGTTATTCATTTCTTATATATATAAGGGAGGGTGGGGAGTTGGAAGAATTAAAAAATGATAATGATTCAGGTTAATAGATATAAATGATAGTTTGATAAAGTGAATGTTACACTTGCAGGTTACAGTGTTTTTGGACTGGTATATAACCTCATGTCTAATCACAGAGTAGGAACTCTTCAGCACAAATTTATCATATACTGTATCATATAACTTTTTATTTTGTACCTTTTCTTTACATTTCAGAATCCCCATAGTCTGTTGTATTATACTACTCTATATGCTTATATTATAAAAATTAATGAACTGTGTTAATGAATGTATAATTTTTCTCACCCATTAAAAATCCTAAACATGTTATATATTGTACAGATTTGCAGAACGGGATATGTATTTTCGTATATAGATGGTGGGCAGTTGACATCCAGTTGGGTAATAAAAATATAAACCTGTATTTTGCATATTTTTGGTTGAAAAGAACCATGGAGGCTTTTCAGTGGATAATGACAGAGTATATGTATGTTTGAGACTGTTTTGTGATTTTACAGAAGAGAACAGAAAGATGATCAGTGGTGCTCAAATGTTATTTTATTGTTTGTATATGTGCAATGTGTCTAGATGTGTGCTTTTGTCAATGGATACTATGTTGTACAGTGTGTGTGTGTGTGTGTTTGTATGTGTGTGTGTGTGTGTGTGTGTGTGTGTGTGTGTGTGTGTGTGTGTGTGTGTGTGTGTGTGTGTGTGTGTGTGTGTGTGTGTATGTGTATGTGTATGTGTATGTGTAAGTAAAGTGAAGGTCTTAAGTAAAGGCAGAATTGTTTTAAGCTGGTATACAATGCTTTATGTTATCATTCTACACTAACTAAAATATTGCACTTCAATTTAGTATAGAATACATCCCATCTTATTAATATTAAAACAATACAGTTTTAGCTTGTTATTTTGCTTATTACTGTGTAATAACTCCTGATATTCCTGTCAAGTGGAGAATATGATAAAAAAAGGTTATTTGATATGCCACTTAGTTTTGAAAATAAATGTATTATAATTATTTAAAGAATGAATAACCTTATGAATAACTCTTATCCATGTTTTGTAAAAATGGGATGAAAATTTAATTAATAATCCATCAGCTTTAAAATAAGCAAAATAAATAATTCAGGTGCTTTTTATCAGGTGTTATGGCAGTGGTTAAACAGTAATGCATAAATATATTATGTGCATAGTAAAGCATATCTACTCGTATATGTGACAGACCTTTCCAGTCACACTGCAAAAAAACAATATACAAAATAAAAGCAGATGACTGGTTTTTATATATATTTTACATTCAAACTTCTTCCTGAGCTCTCAGTATCTCTTACAGGACCATCGCAGTAAGCTAATGAGAAGAACAATCTTACGGTATTCTAACCTTGCCATGCTCATCACGTTCATAATGATCTCTCCAGGCGTTAAGAAGAGATTTCCAACCCCAGAACATTTGATTGAAGCTGGTAGTACTAATAGTTCTCGTAGTCTTGCATTTTATTATTTTTTTTTTAGCCGTTTGGTTTTGGTTGATAACTGCTTCTTAACTTCTTGGGTGCAAGTCTGCATAGTTAGATATTTTACTGTTGATCGTCTTTGTTTTTTTGCATATTTTGAAGAATATCTTTTACCACTAACACTATGAACACTACTTTCTTCAGTTGGTATATATGGTCTGTCACCTATTTATTTGATTGGAAGACATGAAATTGATATATGAAATTATCAGGATTTCCATGCAGAAATTTTGACACTGATATACCAGCCAATCACACGTCATTGATATCAAACGGAGCCTTAGTTTACATCAGTGCTTCTTTTTAACTAACGTTATATAATGCATGTTTGTATTATTAAAATAACTTTGCTTATTGAGCTTTTATAAAAAAAGATTAATGTCATTCTGATCTCTCTGAAGTTGCACATAACTCCTGTCAATGCTTGAAGCGAAACACATCTCTGTGAGTTTTGGATTTCAGAACCTAATTACTGTATATTATATTATTTAGAGTATTATGCATGACTATCATAATATTGTCTTAGGTTAATAAAAAAAAAAAAAAAAAAAGATAGGGAGAATAAAACTGAAACTTAAGTGTAAATTGTAAGGTCTGCAGGTAGTTTTTTTTCTAATAAGTGTGCATCCACTTTTTGGTAACTGATTAATGAAAAGAAGTGGAAGAAGAAGAAGAAGAAGAAGAAGAAGAAGAAGAAGAAGAAGAAGAAGAAGAAGAAGAAGAAGAAGAAGAAGAAGAAGAAGAAGAAGAAAAATTACACACACATACATATATATATATATATATATATGTACATATATATGTATATATGTGTATACATATTTATATATATTTGTATATATGTATTTATGCATATATGCATATGTGTATATATGTATATATGTATATATTAAGATATTTAAGTCATGTAGATATAGGCCATATAAAGAGGGGGAAAAATAATTCCAGAAGATAGAAGGGAGAAGAGTTCAGGTCACAAATGATTCACATTATCAGACCTAAATATCACTGTTTCATTTATGGTTACAGTGAAGCATTTTGTTGTTGAGTTTCCTTGGAATGAATACTACTGCTACTAATGATGATGATGACGACAAAAATACATCTTCATTTTAAACCATTTTTGTAGCATACGACTTATTCTCTTCATTAAAATCTAAACTGACATTCAATTTACATTACATACCTGTCATTCATATCATTCAGTTTATCATTGATGTTTATTTCTCTGGGGACATATTGATTCTTTTGACTACTGTTGCAGAAAGTGTGCCCATATTATTCATCACATTATGATATTGAAGTGAATAAAACTTATTCTTAAGTTGAGAAAAGAAGGGGTTTACTCATACAACTTAGCTGTATGTTGGGATTTTTTTTTGTCTTTCTTAATTGTACTGTGCCAATGTGAATTTGGTGGAAAATGAGCTTATTGTGGTCACTGTTTTGCCAAATATTTAATTTAGTGTTAAATATTTTCATCATGGAATTGATTATTTTGCTGAAAATGTCAGGCATTGAACTTCAGTACTTACTTTATATATGCATATATATATATATATATATATATATATATATATATATATATATATATATATATATATATATATATATATATATATGTATACATATATATATATATTTATATATATATATATATATATATATATATGTATACATATATATATATATTTATATATATATATATATATATATATATATATATATATATATATATATATATATATATATATATATATATATATAAACATTAAAAAACTAACTGTTTGCATTAACTGTTTTCATGCCAGTGTGTGTTGAAAATCTTTGGATTATAACATCTCCGTTGAGCTCAGTGTTTCTATAGATTTTTTTTCTTGATTTACTTCATTTATATATCATCTAACCTCTTTAAGAATTTGATGATGATGTTGGTATTTTTTGATAATCTTGCATCATAAGAGGATTTTCTCAAGGACAGAAGAAATGAAGATGAAATTGAATATTTTATGGGGAAGAAATGAAGAGGATTTTCTATATAGTTTATCATGAATTTTTTTTTCCCACAAAAGCTGCAAAAAGTGAAATTATGCCATGATAGATATTTGATAATCTTCATGTATATTATTTATCATTACTATTTCAAGTCGTCCATATATTTTGAATCAAATGCATTTGATAAAATCCATTTCAGAATAATGCATGTTATGGTGATTAAGAATGATTATAAAGGGTTTTTTATCTGGTTCTATGTTTACTGCATCAAATCTGCACTGTGCAAATGCTGATTAGATGTACTTTTGGATTATATTCACACTACTACATTTTATCTGTATATACTAGCATTGAAATCAAAATGTATAGGTCTAAGAACAAATTTGTAATTTCTGTTATACTAGTGTTTTAGAATGATAATTATAAACCCCGTACATTATTTTTATGAGGCTAATGCAATGCTATTTTCACAGGTTTCATGACATCAAATGAAAAAAAGATTTTTGATGATTTAGATGCAAAGACATCGCACCCCAAGTACTGGATGCCCCTTGTGTGGGCTGGCAGCATTGTCTCGCGTGCCAGGAAGGAAGGCAGAATCCGTGATGACTTTGCGGTTAAGACAATCATCGATGAAATCAATAGGTTTAGAGGACTGTGTGGTGGTCTCCTCAGCTATGATTGGATCAGCATACCACTTGTTTACACGCAGGTATGTCTTTGGGTGTTCTACATTTCATGTCTATAGCTATACCTATATCTATATCTGTATCTATATCTATAAATGTATCTGTATCTATCTATCTGTCTGTCTGTTTGTCTATCTATCTATCTATCTATCTATCTATCTATCTATCTATTTATAAATTCATTCATCCATCCATCTTTCTGTTTATCTGTTCTTTATTTTATACTTTCTTTCTGTCCATCAAACTTTCACTCTCTCTCTCTCTCTCTCTCTCTCTCTCTCTCTCTCTCTCTCTCTCTCTCTCTCTCTCTCTCTCTCTCTCTCTCTCTCTCTCTATAAATATATATATATATATATATATATATATATATATATATATATATATATATATTGGTAGTAATAATGATAGTTATAATGATAATGATAATAATGATAATGATGATAATAATAATGATAATGAAGATGATTGATATTGATAATGATAATGATAATGATATCGACATTGATAATGATAATGATAATGATATCGACATTGATAATGGTGATGATAATGATATCGATATTGATAATGATAATGAGAATGATATTGATAATGATAATGATATCGACATTGATAATGATGAGATGATGATGATAATAGTAATATTTTCTTATAATAATGATAATAGTAATATTAATAATAATTTTTTATAATTATAATAAGACCGGGCTCCCCAAATAGGCATAGCCCGGGCGAGGCTCTGCCTCGCGAATCTAAAAAAAAAAAAAAAAAAAAAAAAAATAATTATAATGATAATGGTATAATGTGCATATGTGTGTGTGTGTGTGTGTATGTGTATATGTTTATGTGTATGTGTATGTGTATGTGTATGTGTATGTGTATGTGTATGTGTATGTGTGTGTGTGTGTGTGTGTGTGTGTTTGTGTGTGTGTGTGTGTGTGTGTGTGTATATGTATGTGTATGTGTATGTGTATGTGTGTATGTGTATATGTATGTGTATGTGTATGTGTATGTGTATGTGTATGTGTGTATATGTATATGTGTGTATGTGTATATGTGTATATGTGTATATGTGTATATGTGTATATGTGTATGTGTATGTGTGTGTGTGTGTGTGTGTGTGTGTGTGTGTGTGTGTGTGTGTGTGTGTGTGTGTGTGTGTGTGTGTGTGTGTGTGTGTGTGTGTGTGTGTGTATGTGTGTGTATATGTGTATCAGTCTGTACAATACATATCTGAATAGTTAGTTTTAACATTATTATGATTAATGTTGAGAAGAAATTAAAATGTCAGTAAGTCTAACGTCACATTTAATCTTCTTCGTTACTCTCCCAAACAGGTCGTCACCCTTGCTGTCTATACATTCTTCCTTGGAACCATCATGGGTAGACAATTTCTCGATCCAGCACAGAAGATCCCCAATCACACATTAGACTTCTACGTACCTATTTTTACACTGCTGCAGTTTTTCTTCTACATGGGCTGGCTCAAAGTCGCAGAATCACTCGTCAATCCATTTGGAGAAGATGACGATGATTTTGAAGTCAATTGGCTCGTGGACAGGAATCTGCAGGTTTGATTTATTAGTATTTGTGATGGAATGTTTAAGTCTTTGGTAAGTATGTCTCTTCCCCTTTTTAGTGAGCTCTGTTCCTTATTATCTTTTACTTTTTTTATTTTCTTATTGTATTTACATTCTTAACTCTTCATAAAGGGGAAAGATGTGGATCTCATTGTCTCTTTGTGATATTTGGTTCCAGAAACAGTGCATTTCCTAATAAACTGGTGTAGATAGTTGTATCAGCATTAACTTTTCCATTGTATTATGTGTATGTAGAGAGAAATATAGAAATGTATAATTTTTGTGTCAAGTTTTATTGTGATTACTGTATCATGTAAAAAATAAGATATTAAAAAAATAAGTGTTATTTTGCTTCTAATATCTGAACATAAATGGCTTATGTTCCCTAAGTTAAACACAGAAAGTAATATTTGCATAATGTTTTATGGCTACTCATGTCAATGTGCATGGATAATACTTAAACCTCATTCCTGTAATAAGTATTTTCTTTTCTTTGTTGTGTCACCCAGGTATCATACCTCATTGTGGATGAAATGCACAGTGAGCATCCAGAACTAATCCAAGACATGTACTGGGATGAAATCTTCCCACAAGAATTACCTTACACGGTTGCAGCTGAACAGTTCCGCAGAGAGCCTCCGCAAGGTTCCACTGCGCATATTGAAGTGCCGGAACCCGATCAGGAATTTTTACCTCTCTTGGAAGAGATGGATGATGAGGAAGATTTGCAAGAAGAGAGAGTGGGAGATGTTAAGGTTGGTAGACGGACTGGTAATTAAAAAAGAAGAAAATTAAGCGAATATGTAACATTACAATTTAGAGTTCAAAGGTCAAAGTTCGTGAGGATAATCAAAACCCAGAGTATTGATTGTTATTTATTTCTGGAATGAATAAGTACTAATTCTTGTAGTTATTTATTCTTTTTATCCTTTATAAGATTAGCAGAAGATTCTGAAAATATCTAACATTTCAGAGACTCCTAATATATAATTGATAATAAATTGTACAACTTCTCTTTATTTCCTATTGTTTTTTAGGTTGACATGAAGAATGGCACACAAGCTATAGATATCATGAAGAAAACTGGAAGTATAGGTTCTTCCATCTCTCGCATGTCATCTCAGACCATAGCATCTCGTAAACCATCTATGCTGTCCATGTTGATGCAGAAAGTGAAATCTGGGAGTCACGAAAATATGAGAAGAAGGAGCAGCAAACCGCTTGGTATGTTAGCCTTGTGATATATGAATATACTAATTTCTTTGAAAATCTAGATATGCTGAAACCAGAGCTGAGGTAAAGATAACTGGGAATTTTTGTGTGAAAGGGTGTGTCTACTGAGACTTATGTGTGGATGTGAGCAGGGACTATTTCTTAAAATTAATGTGTATATAGAAGATGCAAATGGGTCTTGGAGAAAAAAGAAAATGTGACTGCAACTGTGAAGATGAAAAGTATAGTCGACATTCGGAAAATGGTATTTGTACATCGAGTGATATGTATGGTATGTAAATGATGATGAGGGAAATTATTTTCTTTTATTATTATTTTTTTCACTGTAGATATTAGGGTGTGTTATTTTTCATGATATTTTATTTTGTATATATCCAATATTATCACTTTTATATTTCAGATTGTTTGCTTTTTTTTGTTATATTTGTGTTTGCTTTTCCAAAAGTTTGGATAATTTGAACTCACTTTTGTTGAAGATAAGATTTAAAAACACATGTTTCAGGAGAGAGAAGATATCAAGGAGAAATAAGAAAAAGAATATCTGATGGTAGGGATTTTTTTTTCTTGCAAACTGGTGATTTATATTTAACATCTAGTGGAGTATAGACTGATAATAGCATAGTACTTACCACTCAGTTGAAAATTTAGGAGTCCGTAAGTTACTAATATACAGGCCTTGATAGTATTCAGTAGGCCTGTTTTCATGTGTCTTGTGAAAATGTAACACTATTTCCTTAAAGTCATCCAGCATTTTGAAGTAAGTTACTCCATTTAATGATTTATTATATAGTGTCCACGAAATTTGGAAGTATATAACTCTTATGGCAGAATACCTCTTATCATGAAAATGAAAAAGAAGGACCAGATCATAAAAAAGTTGAAATACAAATTACAGCTGATATAATTTTAAGGATGGGTATATTTCAATGGAATATCTTTTACTCTGGGTATGCATTCCATAGAAATAGTGTACTAATTATAGAGTTTGGTACTTTAAGGAGAAGAAAATTGAGAAGGTAGTGTCAAAATGATTAATAGAAGAAATTGGCGAGGAAGGAAAAAAAAGGTATCATGTATCAAATTTCCTTAAAAAAAAAGAATAAAATCATACTGAATTTAATGATGTGAATATATTAATTTCTTTTAAGGTAATTAATGTGTAATATTGAAAAATTTTGTTGTTTGATGGGCATGATGAAAAAGTTGGAAATTTCTGGAAAGTATTTGAGCTGTATTTAGGTTGGGTTTCTGTGGCATGCATATAGGTCAGTCTTTAATGATCATATTTATATCAGAATATAGGTCAAAGAAACTGTGAAGTATATGTAGTCAAGAAATTTATGTGCTGAGGTGTTATTAGAATTACCATTTTTCGGAAATGAATGAAGTAGTCGACAATGTTTTCTATTCCTAGTTATTTGTTTTCTAAGCTTAGTTCATGTAAGCTTATGTTTCTAGGATAGATAACAAAACTAATCTGATGCATGAAGAAAGCAAACAAAATCTTTAAATGTAATACCTTCATATTTGGACATCTTTAACTAATAGTTCCTCATCATAAACATTCATATGCTGCTTGATTCAGTGGTTACATGTAAATATTTTTAAAGATTTGAATGATTTTCTTTTTTTTTCCAATCAAGTATTTCAGTTATATTCATATTTCCTGTTATGCTGTATTATAACTCTTGAACATCTTTGACTGCTCTGACAGGAAGCACAACTTCAATGCGGCACATGCGAAAGCAGCGAGGCCTGATGAGGTCTGCGTCCAGGATGTCTTCTTCGTCTCAGGTCTGCCAGAGTCCTGAGTCGGTTGCCA